TTGCTTTTAGTTTCCTATTGCCCGTAGGACTCCAATCTCCTCATCAGCAAAGGAAATGCAATCTCTTTGTAGCATCATGTGGGCCCGGTTGTTTGAAATCCCAATTATCTCCAAAAAGTCCCTCATTTTTGTAGTTTTCTGTTTCACTTCCTGAAATTGAGTCCAATACCAAATATAAGTAAATATTAATAATTAAAACAATATTTGGCAAGGATAAAGGGGAAAATTAACAATAAAATAACCAACAATTAATACCCTATCAATAATAATAATAATAATAAGTAAAAAAAAAAAATGGGCACCTTTTGGTCAATGCTAGATCCTGTTCGAAGATTTATTCCTTTGGTTTGTCATCATCTCCCTCTATTGAAATCTAAGTACCCTTGGTTGACAATTTGTTTCCCTGAGCAGCCATCAACGCTTTTATATAGTATTAGATTAGATTAGATTGTCAATGCACCATCAATATCCTTCAATCTCACCACCTGCTCAACAAAATGTTCCATAAACACAAATATATTAATGAATTTGGAGTTGATTTGAAGAATTGACGAGAACCGCAAGCTAGAATTTTTCATATAGTCAAACAAGAAATTGGAAAAATCTGACTAGCTTGCAACGAGTACTACATCTCAAGACAAGGGATCTTTCAGTCACTCTTTTATTGTATCGAAGACCTACTTGCATCTATGAATAAGCAATACTGAGTGATTTTAGATGTGAAGTTGATTCCATGTGGTAGGACAACTTTGGTTTTCAAAAATAAGGGCAGTCCAATTCACTCAATACAAAAAAAAAAATTAAAATGATAATATTCAAAGGAACGTCTATCTTACCTGAAAAAAAAACAAACAAACAAAAAACAATAAAAAGGAGATTGATATCCTATCCAGTATCCAGAGATTGAACAATAGCCACATTATATTATAATTCTTAATGATCATTAGCTGAACTATCAACTTTAGCAGTCAAGAAAGGCTGTAACTTGTATAAGGACAATAAATTCTTTATTCCGGCGTCCGGAGACTTGAGACGTGGACGCTTCATTAGTCAATAATAAAGTGTGGAATTCGACGAATATTCTTAGCTCGTTCAAGATAACAGAGAAGATTCACTCTTGTACAAGCAACAGGAACAGCTACTTAAACTATTGGATAATTTCATAAACCTTGGCTGAAGTTTTGGACAATTTCAGTATCCCTATTATTTTCAATATTACGCTGACCATTCTTACTTTAACTAATGTAGTAACCAATTCAGCCCATATCAGTAAAAGAAATGGAATAAATTGACAAGAAATGGTGTCATCACATTTTGTTCCACATTTACCCTTATAGACCCTAAAAGAAATATTGTAACAAATTTTACTTCGTACCTTCGATCTTGAATCACTTTTCTATTCTCTTACTCTAAACTTTAATTTTGGACGCTTTCCATGTGATTGGAGGCAACAGCACAACAGAGCTCTTCTTAAGTCTCTGATCGTTAGTGTCACATGACCATTGCTAATTATGCTATTGCTTTTGAATGGAAATAGCATAAAAGTCTTGGGGAATGAACAAATTGAATAGACCATTTTGCAGAGCAGTGAAATATTCCGAAGCCGTGAAGCACAGTGACAAGCTACAAATTATAGTAATTTATATTTATTAATTGTCAATGAATGGTTTTATTTGAGCTATAATTAGAATGGAAGTTGCCTAATTTAAGTATATTTTGGTTTTTGCGGGAAAAGCACGCAATTGAGGAGGGGATGAATAAAAAACGCAACAAAAGAAGAAGAAACGTTGAAAGGGACTTTGTGAGGACTTCTTCCAGTTCCAATGATTTCTAAAGAAATTTCTAAAATTATGATGAATTTTAAAAAAATTCTACAAAGGGGCCATTTTGAGTATGGGATTCCGTCCAAGGGGTCTTCGCATTCAGCAAATGCGAGCTTCCTCAGCTCGCATTTGCTGAATGCGAAGTCTCTTGAATTTGCAACCAACGAAATCCAAAAAAAAAAACAGACCTCGCATTTGTAAACAGTACGTAGGCCTGACCTCTTATCCTGTTTCTGAGCAACAAAGCATAGCCACGAATTTGAAAGCCATTTGCCAAGTGAAAAGAAAATGTGCAGTGCAAATGGGACACAAAATTGATTGGGGAGTCCTGTTGAGGTAGTACAAGTGGCAAATTGGGAGGGGAGAGAGAGGCGCAGCTGGCTAGCTTCACAGAAATAGGTTCCGAATAGGGGTCCAAGCTCTACAATGGCGCAGAGCTTCCAACGAGAAAGATGTGAGGGATTTCGTCTGCCGATCCTGGAAGCTTGGACTGGTGTCTAGCTCAGCAAAAGAGAAGAGAAAGTGAGCTGGATGGAGAGAGTGAGCTCCAATTTCTGCAGGTTAGGAGACAGATTAGAATGCCGTAATTATGAGCTCTGCCTTTTTTTCAGATTGAGTACCTCGCATTCGAGAAATGCGAGGTACCTCAGCTCGCATTTGGCATATACGACCTTTGTTGTTTTTTACTTTTTCTCAAAACCTTTCTCTTTTTTCTTGAAACACTGACCTCGCATTTGTGAAATGTGAAGTCTTTGAACTAGCGTTTCACAAATGTGAAGACCATAATCCTAGAATTAGCTTCAAAAATTACCCCCCTTGTAAAACAACTTTTTTTTCTATCACAATTTAAGAATTTACTCTGATTTTTGAGCATAACAAGTTTGCGGCCAGAGTTAGAGCCGGTCTTCGGGCCGAACTTTATTGGAAAACCCATTCAAACTCGATTTTTGGTAAGTTTTCAAGACCTATTCCTACCACATTTCGGATGCAACTTTGAGAGACTATAAATAGGACATTCTAGGATATTTTTAGGTTAGAAAGCATTTAGCTTACATTAGTTCATCCTTTTTATATCTTCTTTTCTTGAGAGATCACAAAGGAAGTGTTGAAGAATCAAAGAGAAAGTTCAAGATGGAGATTGGAGTAGGGAAAAATTGAGAAGTTTTCTTTATTTTTAACTTCTTATTTTGTCTTTCATTTGAATTCTTGGATTTATCTATGAATATGTTGAACTAATTTATAGCTAGACTTAAGATTTTGTGAAGGAGATTTGATTATTTGTTCTAGATAAATTATTCAATTTTTCTTTGATTTATCTATCTTGCCTTTATTACATATTTATGTTTGGCCACTATAGATATGCTTTTAGGGTTTGTATTGAATTGAGAAGCGATATACAACCATATATTAGATAAATAAACTTACTTAACCTAATTATGAATGTGGGTTAGGATTTGTATGGCATAATCATATCACCTAAAATCTTAAAGGGTTTAATTAAATACCTATGATCTTGAGAGCAATGTGAGATTTCATTAGACACAATTTAGATGTATCGAGAGATAATTAAAATACTTTTACGTGATACGTCTTTGACATGTTAAGAAAATAATTGGATAATGATTCCAATTATGAATCAAAATTTGAAACTCTAGTCTTTTGCTAATTGTTTTCTCACCTATATCTTATTTGATTTGATTACTTATTTAATTTCTTAATTAGTGACTAAAAACCCTCTAAATTTAAATTTTATTATTTTTATTAGAATAATTAAAGTAGAAAAAATTAACTCATTCCTATATGTTTGACCCTGAAGTACTCCAAGTGAATTATTATTTCGATCAACCCTATACAGTTATAGAAATTCATCGATCACACAGCAACTAAAAAAAAATTAACGCACAATAATGTCATGAACACAGTTCCCATCTTAGTTGTTCAACATTCACGGTGGATTTCAATTAGTGGTAAATAGATAAAGGCATCGAAAAAAGTAATCTAATTACTAGATAATTGAATTTATACTACAGCATATTTCTTTTTTCTACTGCAAAAACTTAACTAATTTAAGACAATGTAGTCCAAGCTAATTGAAGATTAATTTCCCTAAAAAATGTTCATGATAAAAACTCAACAAAGAGATAATACAACAGCTTACTTTTGGAGGTGATCTTATATGGTCTTTATTAACAAACTAATTAGCCACTTAAGCCTTTTTTTTTCCTTTTGGGACTACACATGACAAAATGAGGAGTGAATCAGTCGCTTAGTATCTAAAATTTTCCCTCCATAATTAGTTCAACCTGATTTAAGACTAAATTTTTACTATAGGAATGTTCGTGATTCAGCAATGAAAGACCATATAAACTTATTTTGGGAGATTTGTCCTAGAAGACAAAAAATGAGCAACCAATCAGAAAGTCGTACTTACATATCAAAATCGATACAGTCTACTTAATTCACCAGCTATGTATATTTCATCCATTTTCACATAATAGAAAGAACAATAATGCATGGCATTATCCATCGTAAATTGCTCATATAACATCAAGATATCATGGTGTGGACCTCAAATGACTCGTCATGTCTACTGGCTACATTTTAAACATATCTTATGGCCAGAATGTTCATCTTATCAACTTCACGAGTTTAGTCATGGTACCATACCATTAAATTAAAAAAATTTCCACCGTTTACCTTTTATAGACGTCAAGGAATATAGCTAATAACGCACTTTTGGCAGCAAGCTTCCTTCACCCAATTAAAGATTTTCGGAGCTTAAAGTTCAGCTCCTAAAGCTCTTCTCCAAGGCTCACCAACCAACAGAGAAATTACTTTTAGCAAAGTTGTTAAATTTTGGCACCAGGTTTTGATGGCATCTTGGCAAGATTGGAAGATTATATTGCGCTTCTAAGATAATGTTTAAAAAAGCTATTTTAGTGAGGGCATTATGGTCAATTTGTCCCTGATGATATTGACATTAGGTCCCATCAACATCAGAAGGGAGCTCATTGCATTATTGGATATAACAAGGGTGCTAGTGAAATTATGAAAACCCTCAAGGAAGGTATTTGAAATTAACCCTAAAATACTCATTCCACGCAAGGCGTGGCGTTCCCCTCCTAGTTCCTATAAATAGGGCTGCAACTCAATGCACTTATCACTCGACATCAATAATTTAGCACATTATTTACATTTTGAGTGAGATTGTGATCAAATGGCATCTTCAAAAAATTTGCTCTTTCTTATTGGTGTTCTTTTTGCACTTGTGTACCTCATTTCCTCTGATGCAACAGCTGCAGGTGCCTAGTCCCTTTTTTTCTTTTCCTTTCTTCCTTTTTTTTTTGGCTGCACCTAAATACTTAAATGAATGGAGATTTGGAGACTCATTATTGGAATGTGAATTTTTATGCAAGTCATATTAATGTGCTAATATCTTTTTCATTGTTTAGCAAAAGTAAATTTGGGTTGCTTCTATCAATGGTTAGTGGCACATCTGATTTTTCATGCATCCTTATAGTATTGCGGTAAGGATACACGTTCCATAGTGTCGCACCAAAGATTAAACTAACGTCGAAAACCAAATTAAATGCTTCTAATTATAATTTAAAGCAAAATAATTCCCCTTATAAATGGACGAAACTCCCTGCCAACAAATCCAAATTCAAGAAAAAAATTTTCTTAAGGGGAAACTCTGCCAAAATTTTCTTAAAATAAATAAAATATTTACTTAAAAAAATAAAGCAAAATAATTCATATCCAAGTCGCACCATCTTATATGCCTAGACTGTTTTGTTTAATCCATAGTATTCTTTTCTTTCCATATATCTTGCAAATTTTCAGCCTAGCCGGTCACCTAACGTTCGCAGCTTAAGATAAAGCTCCAAATATTTATGTCTCCTTGTGTCTTGAAACAGATCAGAAGAGCGTGAAAACCACTGGTGTCCACGATGCCAGTTCAGGCGAGGTTCATCAGGATAGCAAAAGCGAAGATCGTTGCAGACATGGTTGCTGCCACTGGTACCATGGACACTGCCAAAGATGCTGTCGAACTGCCGAGGAGACCCCTGAAGTCACATCTGGAGATGAGGATACCGTAACCGCAGATCGTTGCAGACATGGTTGCTGCCGCTGGTACCATGGACATTGCCAAAGATGCTGTCCACCTGAAGATCGTTGCAGACATGGTTGCTGCCACTGGTACCATGGACATTGCCAAAGATGCTGTCCACCTGCTGAGGAGACCCCTGAACATCGTTGCAGACATGGTTGCTGCCGCTGGTACCATGGACATTGCCAAAGATGCTGTCCACCTGCTGAGGAGACTTGCAGACATGGTTGCTGCCACTGGTACCATGGACATTGCCAAAGATGCTGTCGAACTGCTGAGGAGACCCCTGAAGCTACATCCGGAGATGAGGTCAAAAATTAATCCTAAATAAATAAGGCCGTGACACAGGATCCGTGACACCTATATTATTACCTTAATATGTTATGTTGTGTTTGCTTTTAATGGTTGATTTCCTATATGTGTAAAAGACTTGTGCGGCTTCTCTTTGAATTGATGTAGAATCAACGGGGGAAGCATGTAATGAGTACTCAGTTCGAGTGCTCTTCTTATGTTGTTGTCATGTTGAATAAATAAATCTACTTGATCATCTACTACAATTGATGATCTTCTTATGTTTTTTTTCACTTTATCTTCCTTCAAGATTTTTGGTGGAAATGCTTCATTTATACGAATTTTCCTAGTTAGTAAATGCTTCTATTACACTTGTACAATACACATTTAAAAGTATAACACAACAAAAGCTTGTGTAGTTCATATATTTAAAAAATATTCATACTTTTCAACTAAACTATAAAAATACGTAATAAATTCTTGATACATTATACTTTACGAACTATACTTTAAATTTTAAAAATATTTAATAGTATCACTTATCAATAACTCCACATGTTAATTTGTCTTCCAATTCAGTAAATTATAGTAGCTAATTCTCAAAGCTAACCGACACCAAAATTCCCTCACTTGTTGGATTTATATTAATTACATTGCATTTATTTCCTAAGCATGAGTTTTGTAACCCCTCATATTAAATCTCAATGATTGATTTTAACGGTTACCAAGGCGTCTAGTAATTGGTTTGCTATTAATTTGAACTAGACATTTATTAGGTCTAGTAGAATTTATTCCGTCTTATCACTTAGTTCATAAACCTTACGAATCGTTAAAACCAGCTCTAACATTACCTAACAAGACTTCTACAATTTCGGGTTTTGCTTAGAAATCAGTCTGATAGGTTAACTTGCTTCGTCCAACTTTATGAGTTGCTTCTCTTTTTTTTCCCATATTTGACATTTCATCTTACTTTAATATGGGGACCAAGTTAGTATTGTTGACATTTCATATCTAAGACTTCTTAGTTAATTGATTTGTTATAAGAACTATAACGTATGCGTGTTTTGTAAGCTTTCATTTTTATTTTTTTTTCAATTCTTGTGGACCAGCAACGGATAGTTTCTTCTAGTACCAAGCTTCCTTTGAAGTTCTTTATTTTTTTTTTTTTGCGTGTCCAAATGTAAATTAAAAGAACCAACAACTTTGAACAAGTCTATATCTAGTAAAGATAGATATAAAGAGGGATACTATATCACTGCAACAAAAAAGGGATTTGGCGAGGAGCAAAAGTCCACGCCAATAGTTTTGACTTCCTCGCCAATTAATTTCAGCGAGAAAAATGCTTCCTCGTCAAGTTTCTTGCTAGATGCTTGTCGCTAAAAGTTATTAGCGAGGATGCTGCTGCTTTTCTCACTAATGAAACAGATCAATAGCAAGGGTTGACCTCCTCGCCAATCTGATTCAAATACTATGGCGAGAAAAACTTTCCTCACCACTAAAGTTAAAAACTCCCCACAAAAACCAGTAGTTCCTGATAAGTGACTAATTTACGTAATAATTATATGATATTTTATATTATTTTTTGTCACTTTAGTTATATTATTGGAAGAAAATGAATCATTTTGGCTATAATTGGTAAAAAATGCTTTTAAGTGATTAAATGAGGTTTTTATCACTTTTTAGTGGGATTTCGTGCATTTTGACAGTTTTGACACATTTTCGTCGTATTTTGGCTATAACTTGGGATACAATGATCGGATTGAGATGATTTTTAAACCAATTTGAAGATAAGAGATAGATCTACAACTTTGGTGCAGACATTTGAATCCAGTTTGAAGGTTTTCAAAGTCAAAAAGCTGAATTACAATAGCAAATTTCTACTGGTCAAAGCTGAAACAGGGCAATGAGCAGTCAAGGGTATTTCGGTCATTTCTCAGCCTAAACAGATCCAAATGAGGTGATTCTTGATGCATTGGAAAGATAAGTCAAAGGGCTACAAGTTTCATGTTTTGGTCAAGAGCTAAATCAGCTTTTATCATCAAGAAAAGTTCAGTGGAAGTTGATGCAAAATCGGAGCAAAGCTGGAAATTGAACCAGAAGTGACCAAATGGTCACTGTAGCAATCCGGCCGGAATTTGGCCGGATTTGTGGCCAGATTCCTGGCCGGATTGTGGTTAGAAAAGGCTGTTATGTACGCGTAAAACTCAATTTCACCTCCACCAACTCACATGTGATGCTAGACTTGTGAGAAACATTCCCAACTGTAAAAGAGAGGTGTAAACCTCAAGTCTTGACCAATCTTTCATCTATATATAGCCAAATTCATTGCAAGATTGAAGGATATAGAGAGACATATGGGAGAACTTGGAGAGTGCAGAAATGTAGCTCTTTCATCTTCCTAGTGTTAGTTTAGCTTAGTGTAGAGTAGTATAGATCATCCATTCTTGTATCTTGGCTAGATTAGGATGAAGATGGAGATGAAGATGGAGGAGTTGAAGCTCAAGTGACATGGGTTATTTCTTCTCCAACTCTTTATCTTTTGTATCAGATTCTTAAGTTTGGTTAATATACAAGTTCTGGATTTTGTGTTTATTATGTGTTTTTAAAGTTTATACCTTGGGTTTGGTTGAACTTTCTATGATTGTTAGTGTTTATTATTTGGTTATTTGATTGCTATGATTTGAGCAAGTTATTTAGCACTTTGGCTCTTTAAATCATGATTAATCTGGTACCATTGATTGTGATTATCTAAGGTGTTGTTTCTGCAATGAAAATTGAGATTTAACACTAGTTCAAGAAGTGCTAAACATAGGGAGTACACTCACGAAAGTAGAGGTGCACCTATGTGGTTTTTAGTGATTCATTTCGTGTAATTTCATTGAAGAATGAACTTGTAGCTAATTTCATAACCATGAGAATAAGTATGGATTAGTTATAAGTATAATTGATTCACTACGAAAGTAGGATTCAAATACATAAGGAAATTACACCATAACTAGCCTAGATGTAGTACTCAATGATCCAAATATAGCACTTGTATGAGTAGTTAGGGATACCACAACCTAAGGAGCTTTTATTTGTTATTTCAGTAGGTTAAATTTGTTATAATTCATTGATAGTCTAAATAATAGAGAAGCTTTAGTAATATCGGTAATTGTTCACTCTTCCCTGTGGGATCTACCCGATATATACCCTAAACTACTAGTTGATCTGTATACTTGCAGTGAACGGGTGTAATTCGGTTTTTTTTTAACTTGTACGTATGTAAAATACCCGTCAAGTTTTTGGCGCCGTTGCCGGGGAAGATTTGGCAATATCGGTGTGAAGAGCAACTTTATTAGTTTAGACATTTCATTAGTCATAGTGTGAATGTTATTTTCTGCTATTTTTGTGTTTTATGTGTGTATGTGTTTCATTACCTATTTTTCTTACTAATTTTGCTTTTGAGGTTGTTTAAAAGCAATTTTAGGTGATGAGAAGGATAGGTCAATTTGGAGGACAATGCTTGAGAAATGAAAGTTTGGCAATGGATGGTTACCAAGTGCAAAGCTCCTTCAACAGAGGTAATCAAGAATTTACTGAATGTATGTCTTTTGAAGATGGTTTAAGGTGCTTAAAGGCTAAATTTGATGTTATGATGTTACAAGTTCAAATGGACACAATTATGCATAAAATTGAGAAAGGGAGGAATGTTAATGCTTTTAATTCTTATCATGTGATTTGTGACTTGTGTGGAGGTTATCATGCTTCTAATACATGTAGACAAGCACAAAATGTAGATTATTTTGATGAATTAGAGCATTACAATCCTTGTTTTGATCAATATAGTGCTAATTGGAGCAATTCTCCTGCTTGTGGTTGGGATAATCAATGTACATAAAGTGATTATCCATATTTTTATGATTACCAACCTGAAAGTGTCCAATATGAATCAAAACCATCTTGGGAGTTGGCAATAGAGAAGTTAGCTAATGCACCTCTACCTTGGGAGTTAGAAAGTAAACCATTAGCTAATGACTCTAATGCATCTTGGGAGCTAGCTGTAGAAAATTTTTCTAATTAATTTGATTCAACAATAAAAAAGCTAGCAAACGCAACTTCCGACCGTTTTGATAGGATTGAGGAAAGAATAGATGAATTAGCTTCTCACTTTGGTAGAATATATGAGCAATTGAATGTATTGTGTGAAGTTATTTCCTCTAATAATTTGCAAAATGATCCTAGCATGAATGGTGGGAATGTTGTATGTGAAAATGGGTTGTATTTTGACGAAAATTATGAATCTCAAGTGTGTTTTAATGAACAAATATCCATTTCACATGATAATATCTTTGGAACTAACTTTGAGCCTCAAGAGGTGAGTTTTAATGACTCATTTTTCACCCCTCTTGAGGAGTGCAGTGAAAGTATAGGTTCTAAGGGTATTGCTGCCCAAGATACTCTCACGACATTTCATTTGGTAAGTTCTCAAGTGGTGCATATTCAAGGTAATATCTATGAAACACTTGGGATAGGTAAGTCACTTCCATCTCTCACATTATTAGATCATGTGACTTTTGTTATAAAGTCACCATTTAATGATCCACCACATCCTAAAATGGTGGATTATTCTTTAACTAAACCTCCTTGAAAAATGAGGTGAAATAGTCAAGCTAATGACTGTAAAGAAGCACTCGTTGGGAGGCAACCCAGCGATTTCTTGATTTTAGTAAGTTTTAGTTGTTTAACTAGTGTTTTTGTGTGTTTTGTAGGTGGTAATGACAAGGGTTCATGCAAATGATCTCAATGAAAAAAGTGTCAATATTGAGGCAAAAAGGAAGTTTTCATGTTCAATTGATGCATTTCATGCATTTAAAGTGTTTCATGTTAAAGTTACATTCATGCATGATCATGTATTTTCAAGTGTATTTGGTTTAGAAAGACACATTTTCAATGTTAAACTTGGATTTTATTCAAAGAACATGAAAGTAGGTGGAATGCGGAAGATTGGCCAAGCAAATTTGGAGGAAAAACTACAGAAAACAGCTTTT